TTTGTCCGAGGATCATCTTCCACATGTTCATGGTGAAGAGTGGGGCACTTTTGGGTACGGGTTTTCGATCCAGAATTTCTGCTGTCGGGCCATCGGTGGCTCTGTTTCACGTCGTGTTAGCGAAAGAACATATATGCCACAGGAAGGGTTCCGCTTACAGGGCTAGTGCAGCAAATGTGTCCATTATGAGATTCACCCAGAGCAGCTGCACAGCATTAAGTACGGGGTTATTCGAATCGCTATAGATGGACGACACAAACGTCAGAATAACGGCCGTGATGTTGACCGTGATTTGAAACTGAAGGAACTTAGCAACGGCGTCGTTTACCGTCCGTCCCCAGGCGATCGCCGTAACGATGGATCGGAAATTGTCATCCAGGAGGATAATTGAACTAGCCTCTTTGGCTATCTCAGTGCCGGCAATGCCCATAGAAAATCCAACGTCAGCGGTTCTCAAAGCAGGCCCGTCATTTGTGCCGTCGCCCGTCACAGCAACTGTTTCGCCAAGAAATTTAAGCCGTTCTACCAAGATACGCTTGTCTTCTGGCGAAGACCGTGCCAGAACCTGCAGGCGGGGAATAACCCGGTCTAACTCCTCACCTGATAAGTGTCGGAAGTCGTGGCCTTCCATGACTAACCCATCTTTAGTCTTAATACCACAAGACGATGCAATCGCGATAGCAGTTGCAATATTGTCCCCAGTTACCATCTTAACTTGGACTCCCGCGGAATAGCATTTCCGAATCGCCGGTGGAACCTCAGGCCGGAGGGGATCCCGAATGCCCACGACCCCGACCCAGGTCATGTCTCGGAAGACATCGTCAAAATCAGCTGAACACGGATCATCTTCTAACTTCCTGGCATCTGTCGGAGGCCAGGTTAAATAGTCCTTGTACACCATTCCAATCGTTCGAAGAGACTCCCTGGCGTATTTATCAATGGTCTCAATGATTTTCCGTCTGTCGTCCTCTGACAGCGTCTCCGCGTGGAGTCTTTCCTTAGAAGTAGCTATATCTGCAATCTGCGCAGAGCATGCACGGACCATAATCTCCGGAGCACCCTTAACAAGAAGCCGGTAGCCTGTACTACAATGGCGATAAACGAGACCCATGCATTTACGCGTCGAGTCGAATGGAATAAGCTGGACGATCTCGGCGGATCCCCGTTCTAGGGTGAGATCCATACCCAAATAATCATGGGCTAATTGAAGCAGTGCGACTTCAGTCTTGCTCCCAATGAACTCTTTTTGGCTGTTTATCCCTTCCTCAAATGCGGTAGAGTTCAAGGCAACACTCTGAATAATAAGATTCCGTACTGGAGCCGACATTTGCTGGAAAACCTCTGAGATATTCATCGAGCTAGGCCTAGTTTCACCCTCGGATGGTCGACTAAAGCTTTGATTTGAGCCCCAGGTGCCCGCGACAACTGTCATTTTGTTTTGTGTTAAGGTCCCTGTCTTATCAGAGCATATTACCGTGGCATTTCCCATTGTCTCGCAGGCCCGTAGAACGCGAACCAGGTTATTCTCCTTAACCATGCGGGTCGTAGCAAAGGCCAGAGCAAGTGTGACTGCGAGTGGAAGGCCCTCTAAGGAAGGAATGGATGTCAGTGTTGACTAAGTACTATTCCGTAGTAACAACGGCTCACCTGGAACCGCGACAACAATGACAGTCACAGCTACAATTAAAATATCAACAAAATGCTGGCCCTTAACAGCAGGGCTCTGATCCGGATGATTTGGAAGATCGGCAACGAATTGGAATAACAAGACAAGGAAGAGAATGATGGCTGCACTATGGTATATTGTTAGTACCACTTTCTTATACTTAGGGAATATATTCTTCACGCTGAACCCAAATACCCGATCCAATTTGCAAGATAACCCAGTTTTACCTGGAGCGGTGTAGGATCGTTGGAAGTCTGCAGCGACAACATGATCCGACCGTATGTGGAAAACCGTCCAACACTGGTCACCAGATAGGTGCCCACGCTTTCGAGAACCTTGCTGCCGGAGACCATAAACGGGTCAAGGTTCTTGTTTGCGCGGCCTTCTATAATCTGCTGCCAAACTTCATAGCCATTCGTCTTCTTCATGTGGTCTGACTCGCCAGTAACTGATGACTCGTCGCATTTCACCCCATGTCCCGAGATCAAGACCCCATCAGCGGGAATAGAGTCACCGGGCTCTAGGTGGAGCACGTCGCCCACCATAATATCGTAAACAGATATCAATGTTGACTTGCCTGATCGGATAGCTTTGACCTCGCGGTCATTGTTCTTATAGAAAGGTTGGATAAATAACACAGTTTAGGAAATCAAATGACACTTACTCGCTTGTTGAGTTTGGCAAATTGTTTTTCCTTTTGCCAGTCATTAGCAGCGGTGACCACGGTGACGATCAGAATCGCCACGCAGATAGCCACCCCCTCCACCCACTCCACGCCTGTGCCGCCCTCCACAGTTTCATATATCCCCAAAGCCAATGAAACAATAGCGGCAATGGTCAACAATATAATGATCTTATCGTTATAGGCGACCCAAAACAGCTTGAAGAACCCAGCTGACTTTCGAGCCGGTAGCTTGTTCTCGGCGTAAACCCGAATGCGGTCCTCGAATTTTGAAGAACCGGTGGTTGTCGAAGTTACTGCCGGGGCCGGATTGGCTTCCAGTTGCGGCTTAGCGATATAGAGTGGCTTGTAGTGCGGGGGGAGCGTCAGCTGCTGAAAATCGACAAAACCTTCCAGTCGACTCTCATCGACGGATAGACCGGCCATTAGGTCCGTTCGGAGGCCTTTCTCCAACCCTTGCAAGCCACCGAGGGCATAGAAGGCTGCGAGGGACTTGGGGTTCTGCATTTTGTTCAGCTGTCCTGGCGAGAAGGCGAACCGATTTTCGTCAACATCGAAATTAGCCTCATCGCGAGGATTTGGTGCCAGTGCCTCTGACAGCGACACGTCGTCAAAATCTAATTTGACAGTGGGATCCGAATACACATCCGAGTAATCCGTGGACCGGACCACCGTGGCCGCAGTAGATGCGATCGATTCCGGAGGTAAGGCATCGCCATCAATCGACCGCGAAGGCCGTTGCGAGCCTTGATGAACCAACGGTATTGCTGGATCTGGATTATTCCGTATTACATCTAGCGACTGAGGAAATACCGGGCTATGGTTGAGACCCATTGGTCCTGAACGGGCCGAAGGCCTTGCGGCGGATGAAACCGATAGGGACCGCTGGAAGCGAGATATTCTTAGACGACTGTCACCCGATGCGTTTTTGGGCCTGATTGACTCTTCGTCAGGAGAGGTTGTCACCATCAAGGGGGCCGGGGATAATGGGTGCTGAGACGAGTTGTTATGAGAAGAAGCAGCCATGGGCGCACTCTGATCGGCACTTGTCCCTCCAGTACGTACTTCATTGGAAATTATTCATCTCTCATGTGAGGGACCGTCCCAGATGCTGGGGCATTGGCTAATTATCCTCATTCCACAAGGGGGCTGTGTAGTGGTTTCCAAAAAGCTTTTGGGGAATGGGAAGACCGTCCGTCCATGGACAACAACGCAAGGGCTCGCGGGCCAGCAAGGATGCCAAGAAAGATTGGTCCTTGTTTCCCATGAATTTTGAATGACAAGAGAGGGAGTGTGATGATCGTATTGCTGAACACGATGATCTTCTTCCCCGGTGCCAGATTACGCGGGAGTAGCACAGCCTCGATGAGCAGCCAACAGAGCTACAGTACCGAAGAACCCTAAACCTTTCTACGTACGCCAAGATTGAGGAGCCGAAGGCGAGCTGATACCAAATTCAGTAGGCATAAGGGTGAGGATTACTCCTATACAGGCTCCCTTGCACTCATGGGATTTGGTGGGAATACCTCCTCGTTCTCTCTCTGAATCTAGCTCTATATAAAGCGCTCGATGTCTATGTCAGGCCTTTTCGAAGTGATAACTTGAAACCGCCTTAGGGTGCCAACCTAGGTATAACCGGGTGTGAGCTTGCTGCTGTGTCTAGGGTGGCAAGAAATTCGACTGCGCCTCGATCTAGAGGCCTGATGGCATTGCAAGCTCGGGAACCATAAACTTCCTATTACTGTAGGTCAAGATAAGGTAAATTACGTACTTGGTGCTCTCCCAATCAATGAGAGGCGGGAGTGTGTCAATTGCGTCATGGGTTCTGGACTCTAATTCATGCGACGCAGGTACTGAAGGTCAGCTTGCAAAAGTGAGCGGCAAGGCCATCGACAGCACGAACCACGAATAAACTGTGTCACAAGGTCAATCTGGATTTATCACATTTTCTTCCAACCATCAATTGTGATAAACATGTGCCTGATTCCCTTATGTGCTGCGATGATTTCCCAATCCCCATGCGACCAATCTTATGGTCAACCCTTGTTTATCGAAGATGTCGTAAGAGTACGAAGGTATAACTGATTTGGATAAATTACTGCTGTAGCTCACCACCGGTAGCAGCAGTGTAGTTGGCTATCACACTGAGGCAACCTGCAGCGTGATGAACTTGTCATTTTTCATCCCTGCGAGCATTGGGTTCGAGTCCCGACACCGGCACAATAATAACTATCTATAATCACGTCTCCTTGATGGGACACTATCGCCCAGGGGAATGGCGTACCCCAGCCTCATCACATCATAGTGGTAGCCTGCATATCGCCAAAAGCGAGGGTTCAGGGTAAATGGAACCATCCATCCATCTATGCTGTAACATGTCCTGTCAAGAAGCAGCGGAGAAACTGGCATGCAAAGGTAAATAGATAACGTCTTGTCGGTCGGGTACAGTAGCCCCAACCGGCACACAGTTCCACCACTTGTCGCAACGTCATAGTCGACCAGACACAGAGCTCGATGGCGTGGTTGACCATTGGTCATGTATAAAGCCAATCATTATTTGCCTCGAGCAATGTAAATTCCAGAGATTTTGTGATTCAAGGCTAAAGTACTATCCTCGCACTTTGGGATGGTTTGATTCTACATTCTCCCAACATGGTTCCCGGGCCCAACCTGAAAGTGTCAGACCGGCCGGGTCTCAAGTCACCGCCGGAGGATCGAACACTACGATTCAGGAAAGATGGCACTTTCCATATCGCTGTATTTGAGGACCTTCATTTCGCCGAGCGTACGTCTCGATCTTTGCGGCAACGTGATGGGACAGGGATAGAGAATGTACACTTTAACCTTTTGCCACATAATGATAAGGATGCCAAATCGAAAAGGTGATGATACATTCTTGCCGAAGAAGACATCGACTTTGTATTTTTCAATGGCGACCTAGTATCAGGCGAAAGGACACTGAAAAGCAACTACAGTAAATATGTCCTCTCCGTCATTTCGCCGCTTGTCAACGAGGGATATCTTTGGGCGTCGACCTACGGCAATCACGACAGCGAGATCAATCTCGACCCGGAAGAAGACGTATTGAAAACTGAGACACGGTACCGCAGCAGGTTGACGCATAGAGAGTTTCTGGGCCCAAGACTGGAATTACAAATTATTATTTACCGGTCTGTTCCTATTCAGCATCAAACACTAACAATCCCGCACTTGTCTTGTGGTTCTTTGATTCTAAGGGTGGACATTATCACCAAAAAAATGCGGAGCGCGGTTTATCGGCTAAGAGACCTAATTGGATCAATGGATCTGTACGAAACCCGATCGGTGATTGATTTGATGACTGACTAGATTGAGGGTGGTGGATTGGTTCACCTGGACCAATTCCAAGCTAAAAGCTGAGTTTGGGGTCATCCTATGGCTGGCATTCTATCACATCCCTACCCATGCAATGCTTCATTATCAGCAAGAGGGAAGCGTTCATCCACAACTGGGTCCCGGTCACAACTGCGAAAGGGTGAAAGCGCAAGGCACCATAGACTAGAGCTATGGTAGCCAGGATGTGAAATTTATGAAAGCGCTTCTTGAGACTGAGGGGCTGGTCGCAGGATTCAGTGGCCATGATCATAAAAATGATTGGTATGGTTTTAACTTCCCAGAAAGCAGATTTGAGGCATTTGGTTGTATTTTAACTATCGAAGGTGCTTCAAATGGGACGAATCGCTCACGGAACACGGATTGACCGGAAATGTTATCAACTTGTGCATTTGTCGGCACACAGGGTATGGAGGATACGGAAATTTGACCCGCGGTAGCCGCCAAATTTTACTCCATGAATCTAACCCCAGAGATAATATTGAAACATGGGTTAGATTGGAAAATGGGGCTGTTTCAGGCAACGTCACGCTGAACTCGACTTATGGCCAGGATTTTTACCAAACGTTTACTAATGGTGTTGGGAAGCCGAGTGTCCACGTGCAGGGCTCTCTGCTCTCCGTGTTCTCGTTGTGGGCTTGCTTTTTAGCTCTGTGGTGTTGGGAACTCTAAGATAAAATGGCTCTATACATATGTAGATACATCAACTTTCGAGGAGACTGAAATCAAACCAGGAGGAAGCCTTGGCCATTTGTCACGCCTCAGACGTCGTTTTGCAACACATGCAGATAGTTTGAATTTTGCCACATATCCTATCCCGTCCCAGAAGTATTGTCTGAGTTACCGCGCAACGACCGATACCTCCGAACACTGCGAAATAGCCTCTCGAAGCGGACTCGTCGATGTTTGACGAAGCCCAAAGCCTAAAAAGGCAACGACGGTTCGGTGAACAATCTCAAATGCCTTAAACCCATCTAGAGTCCCAACCATCATTTGCATGGCCGGTATGTTTTGAACAGGCAGAGCCAGGAGCTTCAATAGAAACGGCAAATCGGAGAAAGTGTAATGTTGAGCTTGGGCTAGTTCCAGCTCTAATCTCCAACCCCGCAGATTTGACCAAAACTCTGCCCACGATGGGTCTGTCATCTGGGTCTTATTTTCATGTCCGAACAGAAGGAATGGACCCTGAAGCCCTTGTTGAACCACTGGTCCAAACATTGACCCGTCCAGGTTCGCTCCCGCAACAATCCGACGGTCCAAATGCATGGCTTCGGCGGTGGCCGCACCCCCGACAGAATGACCATACATCGCGACTCGCCGAGTTCTCAAACCCGCTGCCCTCATTCCAGGGAGTAAATCTGCTATGCCAGCCTTTGTACTTAGCTGATCTAGCACGAACATCACATCTCGCGCTCGGGTGTCGACATCCAGTGAAATCTGCGCGTCACTGATGTTTGCTGCAGTCACGACTCTTCCGTCCGGAAACTCTAGGAACTCGGTATCATAGGGATGATCGATAGACACCACGATGTACCCAGCGCTGGCCACAGACTGTGCAAAGGCATTGTAGAACAGCCGCGTCGTGCCGAGAGCAGGCGAAAAAATCACCACTGGGAACTGGATGTGATGCTCTCTTGGCGGCTCTGGGCACGCCTGGAAATAGAGGGATTGAAGCGACCCGTTGGGAAGTCCGTACGCGCTGTATAGTTCGGAGTAGAATGCGGCTGTTATGGTGGGCAGGTAATGTATCTTCTCGAGATCGGCTTTGCAATGGGTGGGGGCGAATATCGAAGTCATCACTGCACGCGGTCCGTGTTGGGGATCAAAGGGATCGACTCTGGTGTTATCAACCATGCTTGCTGTGTTGTAAAACACATCGTATGGTCCGGGTGGGGTTGGAATCACCACTGCAGAGACAGACAGAGCCATAATGGGCAGCAGACGAAGAGTTTGAAGCATCATAAATCACTAGACGACGCAGTCCAGGATTAAAGTAGCGTAAGTATAAAATCTTTAAATAGTGCTGAAGTGGATGATGGGATTTTAATCACAATAGTCGGAGGACCGCCCTGACCTTTATACATCCAGATTGAAGAGGCGGAGTAGTAGACCAGCATTCCCCCTGCTAGCAAAGCACCCGTAGCAACTTACAAATGCGAAATCTGTCTCTTCCGTCAAAGTATATGAGTTTCCTGAAATGGAATTGATAGAGCGTTAGTTGGTCAGATCCAAGTCGGTCACCAAGAACAATCAAGTAATGTGGATCCTTGTCTCGCGATATTACTTCCTAATTGGGTTAGCACCATATTGCAGCCTGCGGTCAGACCAGGTCTCGCTCGAATATATCTATTTTCATCGGAATGGTCATCGGAGATACTCGCAATTTATTTGTTTGTTAGATAATTCATCAAGATCATGTCCTCATCAACAAATTTGCAGGGGAGAATGGTCGGTCCACTGGACAAGCGAAGACGGGTGACGCGCTGCCTCGGCTGCGCGAAACGACGCATCAAGGTCTGGGATGTGTAACCCCAATTTGCTGGGATCATTGCAGCTAATTATCGGTAGTGTGAAGGGGGATTTCCATGTGCTCGTTGCATTCGACAAAACACGATGTGCGTTGCGCAACAGCAATCGGGACATGGTATGACTATGTTTGTCAACCAAACCCAGCAAGATGATTTTGGTGGAGGTCACCGAATTTCTGATCAGAAGGGCATGGCTATTACCATTAGGCACAGCCCCGGGATTCATCAACTTGGTTCCATCGGGAGGGATAAGGGCACCCGCTTTCTTGATTATTTTGTCTCTTTCATTCAGCAGAACATGTTCACGATGAGATTCTCGTCAATAGTTCCGGACCTGCTTCCTCTAATTTCAACTTCCCCAGTCCTATATAATGCAGTGATAGCGGTTGGTGCTTTGGAGGCGAACCGACATTTCGCTGGACGCACGTTACAGGGAGAGGAACCCCCCTATGTGGATTCCATGACCTCTTACCATAAGTCAATAGGTATTTTGCGGTCGTGTCTGGGAAAAAGCAATGTGATGCAAAGAGAGGACGTTCTCTGGGCCACATTTTTCCTGGGGCTGTTTGAGGTATGTTCTTCATCAGAAACGGTATCCTCTATCTGATGCATTAAGTCCGTGTTTAACTAACATCAATACACGTAGTTGCTCTCGGATGATTCGGGTGAAGGCTGGGTCAAGCACATGCTCTATGGAACATCAAAAATGTTCCAGCTTGCAGGACCAAGCGATTGCATGTCATCGGCCCGAAGGATATTCTACGACCTTTTTCGTATCCTCGAAGCCAGCCGAGCATTACTCTATAATGAAGAAACGATCCTTTCACAGGAATGTTGGGTTCTACTCCAAAAAACCCTGTCAAGCAATGCCTCTCGATGGGAGCCCATGGAAGAGATTATAACCATCATGATTCAGACATCCACCTTCAGCCTACGGTAAGTAGGTCCTGACAAATGAGCAACTTGTTCTGTTTTAATAATCCGAACGACAGAGCCGCTGCTATAATTAAGATGATTCCTGAAGCAGAGCGGTTCACAGATCCATCAGTTGCTCTGCTTGCGGCTGAAGGTCTCAATGCACAAGACACTATCTATAACTGGCACACGCAGACGTTGCTGCAGCTGGCCCAGGATGGCCCTACTGAATATTCAAACTTAGCTTTGTTGTATTACCACGCGCTGCTAATCTTTCTCTCTGGCAACTATGACTATTTCCCCTACTGGGACAAGATCCCAGCCCCGGTGTTATCCCCTGCTGAAATTTCTGAACACCTGGTTGCAATCCTGGATCTCTCGGGCGAGGTGTTGTGCCACTCCAAGATTCCGGGAGTGATGCTGTTTTTCCCAGTTACCGTTGCAGGATCTCGAGCCCGGAGAGTTGAACAAAGATCCAAAGTACTGAATCTGCTCGACTGGGTCTTCTGTCAAGGATTCGTGGTCGCAAACAGGATACGGGATGGTTTGCTGGAACGGTGGGCCGAGAGGGATCGGGAAGAGATAATGCATCTGGCCACATGAGATAATTACTACTCCTCAATCACGCGGAGAGTAGCTGAGCGGACTGGAAGCCATGCTCTCCACACCCTATGCTAGTTTGTGTTTCATATTACCTGACAAAAGATTACAAAGCCTTAAATGAGCCGGCACTACTGCCCAACCTCGTGCGATTGCAAGTGAAAATAGTGCGTAAGGTATAGGCAGAGGGAAACTATGAAACCCTACTAACAAAGTGAAATCTCTCAAGAAGGAAGAAGCACAATCTATGTTCTATTATTCTGCCTGATGCTTAGCAAATTTTGATTTATCGCGCATGCTGCTCCCCAGCCAGTGCGTTAGGCTGTCTGTGGTGTTCAGAGAGGCGTTCAGAAACAAATATTTAGTGACTACACATCCCTCGGGAATTCCCAATGTCCATAATGACTATGTTTGGCGCCTCTAGGGCTAAGTTATCGTATGGTCATTCTTGAATATATAATAATCTCACTTCTTACCCTGCATTTTCGCCCTAACAACTTGCATCATCTACTATCAACTCTCCCCCACTCACGAAAAAGGGCTCTAGTAGCAGTCTAAAGCCCGATTATGGCATCTCCGGGCTGGTAATCGAAGTATTTTAAGTGGTATTCCCAGGTCTAGACTTTGAATCCAAACTCGGTTTTGGAGAAGTCTAACGAGAAGAACCTGGAGTCAGGCATCCGAACCATTATTCCTCCCATAGTAAAGCGGAAGCCCTAATCTGGAGTCTGCCAGACTCCATGCAGCCCCTTTGGATAGTTGATAAAAAAAGAGAAGCAGCTCGCGTATCTATCCTGGGACTATGTAGAGCTTCTTGTCAGTGGAAAACTTCTTGTCAGTGGAAAACTTCTTGTTAGTGGAAAACTTCTTGTTAGTGGAAAACTTCGTGTCAGTGGTGTCGTAAGAAGACATTGATCAACATTTTGTTTTCAGGTAGATCGTTTCAGGAAATATCCTTTCTTAAAAACTTCGGAACAAAAGCCTTGTTTTGAGTGTGTTGCCTTCGAGAGAATTGTCTTGAGAGGAAACTCGTACCGTGAGGCCCGACCAGAGAGCAAAGGCCAGAGAAGAGGCGGACCTTATCGTATCCCCACCCCTTTGCCTGGGTTGGTGGTTTGTTTGGAAGGGGACGAATGTTCCAACTTGAATTGACAATGATTGGGAAAGTTTAATGCAGAGAGATAACTCACTATGATATGGAAAAGAACATGATATATAAATAACCAAACAAATCAACTAATCAGATTCAAGCATTGAAGAAACGTAATCACCTATTCTTAGTGTAAAACGTCGGTTGAACGACAGTGTAGTCGCACAACATTGACATAACCGCATTGCATGTTGAATCAAACAGCGGCTATAAAATGAGGGTATTTCCCTGCGGCTGCGGGTAATTCACTGTGCAGGTACCGCAACATCCTTGGAAAGCTCATGATCCTCACAGAACTTCTTTGCATGCTGCATGAATGACAGCAGTCGCTGGCGCCGGTAGTAGATGTTGGTCAAGTCGATGTGGGCGCTTGCCTCGGCATCGTTCTGGCCGGTAATGAGAATGAGCATGAAGAATGTCTCAATGATGCTGGGAGGCACGTTTGAAATCAACTGTCCGGTGAGACTCCATTTCATTGCGCTTGAAGCGACAAGGCAACCAATGGTGAGGAAGAAGCCAGTAATAACCATGGAGAGATGGGAGCTGACGGCATCCATCCAGCGGGACACGCGCTGGCTCAGAGACGGGTGCTTAGTGCTGCCAGCTGAAGGGATGGCCATTGACAGTCCAGCGAAGAGCCCCATGTCTCCCTTCTCCACAATACTAATCTGACCGTTGATGTACTGGTGCACCTTGCCTTGGATGTTGCGGAGGACAAAACTGTCGAACAAACCAACCAGCCCCGCATACGTGCCGATGAGAAGCCACCAGTTACTGTTGAAATGAAAGACAGGTCCGACGGCTGCCCAGGCGATCATCACCATAACGAGGAAGACGATGCCGACCAGAGTGCCGATGATGTCGGCGTAGTAAAAGATCACCACCTGCAGGAAGTTCTCCTTAGGGGGCAAGATGACTTCCATCTGGTTCGGCAGGTCATCCTCGGTGAGGCGACGAAGCTCCTTCTCGAGAGTCGAATCGAGTCTGAAGATGGCGTCTAGGCAGGTGTTGGTATAGTCAGCATAACATTCCCGCAGGCAGGCCAGGAACGCAAAAACCAGCACCATCAGCGCCGACGTCGCGTCGTTGATGTAGAGTTGCCACCGGTTCGACCAGTTGCAACGCGGACCGAAGCCCAGCCAGATGAAGATGCAGACCCAGTAGAGACCGGCGCTGATAATATGTCCGAAAGTCTTGGCGAAGACGATGATGCACCGGGCAAAGAGACCCTGGGTGCGCAGTCCATGGTCCAGCGGGTTGAGAGGTTCATCGTGACACTTCTCGACGACATGACGTATCCCTTCCGCTCCCAGCTTCTTCTTGACACTGGCAATCATGCGATGATGACTGTTGCACCGGGACTGGATTTCGACCATGGCTTCACGCTGCTCGGAGTACTCGCGGAGCAGCTGGCGCATGAGGAACGAATCGAACACGTAACATAGAATAGCCTGGACATCGGAGATAGCAGCAACCCAGACGTCCGAGTTGCCAAAATGAATGCCCATCAAGGCCCACAATAACAGGCCAGCGATAATAAACAGAAAGACTGGGGCCGACCCAGCCACCCGGACTGTCAAATCGAGCCAGCGGTCCACCAGTCTCGGGCTCGCCTTGATCCTGTACCCAGAAACATCTTCAGTAGTGGTCACAATAACGGCATCAACATTTGCATCCTTCCCACTTGCCACCCGCTGCGTCTCCGCAGCCCCCTCAACCTCGCATCGAAAGATAGGTCTGAAATATTTCATTGTGGTCGACCAAACAACCGCTGTTGGATGTTGGATCCGATACTGTGCAATTGCTCAGGGTTCAGGCTCATTGACCCGCAGGGTAGTTAAGGTGGGCGAGTTGCGTTTGCAGACTCGCGAGTGGATTGCAGCCCAGCTAACGTGCCTGGGATCGAGGAGACAATGGAGACAAGGGAGTTCATGGAGCGAAGATCAGCCATTCAGAGTAAAAGACCAGACACTGTGTGTCGTGGAGGATTGTAGTTAGTGGGTGAGTGAAAAGGAGAAGAAGGGAATAGAAGGTAGAGAGAGGAAAACAATTTATGTGCGATAGGAAGATGCCATTAAATGCCGCATAGGGGCACAGGGCCATACTGTAAGTGGAAGAAGACACTGCTCAGGCAATGCAGCCGCATGATAGGCCGCGCCGTTATTTTCTCAGCCACCACCATCGTCCTTGTCTCAATATGATTCCTGGTGGACCTTGTCGTGTTGAGAAGAAAATTTTTTCTCGCTGCTTAAAAACGCTCTGAGGTCCTCGTGGGCGTCGACGGTCGCCAAGAGTCACCAATGACGGGCTAGGCAGCAATTAAAGTTTGCTTAACAAGGCTTAACAAGGCTTAGCGTACGGTCGGGACCTGCAGGTGGCCCGAGCTGGCTTGATTGGCTTTCGCTGTTGCCTGAAATAAACCATCGCTGAAATATCATTGGATGCTGTTGGCGTGAAGAAAATAGAGCCAACCACAAGATGTCCAATGGATGACTTCCCGTGGAAGCTTGTCCCTTGCTTGGTATTGCACCGGGATTTCTTAGAGTGGAAATATTCTCTGGTGCCAATTTATGGTGATGGGAATCTCTTCGCCAGGAATTTCCAACATGCGCAGTCAACTCACTCGTTCCCTTTTCGACCACAGTATTGCCATGTCCTGCAGAGATGATCTTGAATAGTGGCCCTATACTCTGAAACAAATTTTCACCTCCATTCTTTGCACCGGGCAAGTCTCTTCTGCTGCTCTCTCCTACACCTCTCCCCCCACTTCCATCCAACCCATATGAGTGGCATCAACAGGAACACGACACCGGTTACTATAAAGAAAGCTGCCATCGCCTTTACAGCACCAAATCAATGGTTGGATGACACTGACTCCCTCTACGCCTAGTATACAGCGGCATAGGTTGTTAAGCGCCGTTGCGCTCGCTGGTCGGTCGGGGAAGCAGTCAATTAGCACCGCCGAGTTGATATTGAAGATGACAGTCGCCGTGAATGAAATCGGGAGCTGTAGGATAAGCGGCGCCGCAACAAAATAGTGTTTTATGGGCCCTAATATGGTAACTAATCTGGAATACCTCGGTCAGCATTATGGATATTGGTGCTTACCGGGGATTATCAGTGCTTACAGAATATTATTTGTTCTTATTTTCATACTTTCCGTAAAGATTCCAATGGAGGAATAATTAATCTGGTTTGCCTTAATCTTCATCTCATGCTGGCAGTCATCGACCGCCCAAAACCCATCCGTAACAAAAATGGTGACTAGGCAGTCGTTAGAATAAGCCTGGCGTATGCAGCCCAATTAGGAACGGCAGTATAACCAGTTGACGGTAGGGTTGTCGATTTACCGTAATAAATATAATTCATGGTATATACAGCCTATTTACTGTTAATTAAAGAAATTGATAAATTACAAGGTGAAGAGGGAAACCCTAGAGGTGAACTAAACCCTGCCTGCCTGTCTGCGAACCAGGTACGGCCACTAGTGGTAGTAGGAGGTATAGAGAGGACAACACCTAGAGGTGATAGTAGAAGAGAAATGGTGCTGCATTGCCATCCTGTAAGCTAGGAAGTCTTATATATCACATAAATCCTGAGCCATCATATAGACCGCTATTTCAGCCATTCCAGCTATTATATGTAACGAGCCATTTCCCTCACCACAACGATGGTTTGACCATCCTTTGTACACCAGCAACTCGACCTTCGCGTACTAGCAGGGTAACAGATAAGTTATCAGCGATCAGCGACGTTGGTCAGTATAGGAATATTGATCCGTTCAAATTTTGTGAGGGTATTTGCTCCGATAAACGAGAAGGTACGTGGTAGGGCTTTATTAAAGGCTCTATCTAATACATCTAATACACACAACTGACCAACAGTACCGTATACCGAACGCCAGGCAACTCTAGACCTCTCTACCCGACAACCTGAGTTGCGGAAATGCCTACCCACCCCCCAACCAACGTGGTCGCCCATCATTCCAAATACACCACCGAGATTCTGGCTCCTAGTCAGACACGCTACCGATCCGGAGGCGATCATGCAGCGCCACCGGCCGCCTTCTTCAGTTCATCACCGTGGAGCTTCTTCCAGCTGCCAAAGAATCCAATGACAGTGGCGACACCAAAGGCGGCAATTGTAATCGCAAAGACAGCTTTCAGACCAACCATGTATGCGTCGATGATGACGGAAACTTGCGAAGGTGTAAAGGCTTCGCGGATTTGCGTTGCACCGGTCCCAATAGCTACCGCCGGGTCGATCTCGGGGAGTTTTATGGCAAGTGTCTCAATCAGCTGATTGTTGAAGGCCGATTGTGCTGCTGAGAGAAAGAAAGCTCCGCCAACGGTCATGAAGACTGGCACTACTGTTAGAAGACAGCTCGTATAAGCTACAGTAGATCAAGGACTCACAATTGACAATAGCTGTGGCCTGCGACATGTCCTCTGGTGAAGCATGGACTTGCGCGTTTGACATGGCAATCTGGAATGTCCAGCCCGCGCTGAAGCCAACAATAATCTGATACCCAATCCACTTGCCAGCAGATGTTTCAGTATCAAAAGTATAGATTAGGCCGCAGCCGACGGTTCCCAAAACGCCACCTATGATCCAAAACAGGGGTACGACGCCGATTTTGGATAGCGCAAATCCCTGCACGACGGCAGCGAGGGTTAGCGGGATGATGAGTGCGAGCATTTTGAGACCGGATGCGATCGGAGTGCTGTTATAGACGCTCTGGAAGTAGATCGGAAGATAGTAAAGGATAATGAAGTGGGCGCCACCGAAGAAGAACATGAATATGGAGCCCACACAAATGTAGCGTTTCATGAACTACAGCCATTTCGCTATTAGTTCATGTCAGAGCAGGATAGGACTCGCATCATGGCTTACCAGTCGTGGAACAATCATTGCACGTTCCTTCTGGTAGATTTCCCAGGCCACAAAGACGAGAACAATCACAACAAAGCCGACCAGCAGTCCTATAACCTGGCTGCTCTTCCAGGAATGTGTCTGGCCGCCATACTGCAGCGCCAGGATATATGAAATGATTAAGCCCATCATAAGGACTCCACCGACGAGGTCCATTTGCAAGAACTTCTCTTTAGGTGTAGCCTTTGCCGGCGCTGCGCTACTTGGGGGCTTGAAGAGCAAGAATATCATCCCGGCAGCTAGTCCTCCGATGGGCAGGTTGATGTAGAAGCACTATTCAGTGGTCAGTGATAGCCCTGATATTCCAATGGCTCTCATCTCATCTTACCCAGCGCCATGACACTTTTTCAGTGAAAGCGCCGCCGATGAGCGGTCCCAAGACTGCGGCGATGCCGTAAGTTGCTCCGGTAAAGCCCAAAAGCTGTGGACGTTTCTCAGGGGGCACAGCGAACCCGATAATCGTGAAAACTCCGACGCCAACTCCGGATCCGCCGAAGCCAGCGATAGCCCGGCCGGCAATGAGAGTTGTAGGGTCTTGAGCCACGGCGCAGATGAGGCTGCCCACTTCAAAAATGAACACGGCAACGAGGAACCAAAGCTTGATTGGAAAGTACTTGTAAAACTTTCCCCAGGTTGATTGGAAGCCTGTAATGATTAGCCACTTCGTATTCGGGTGGCTTCAGGGCCAAGTATCGAAGCATTCGTAGATGGGAAGAAAGGAGCCGCTCTGCGTGAAAGATTAACATGGCATCCAGAAACGAAGGTGTCCATAGAACTAACCACTGCCATATGTCATCAAATAGGCTGACCCGTACCACGACACTCTGTTGAGGTCATGGAATTCGTCCGTTATTTTGGGAATGGCCGTGCCGAGGATGGTCTATTGGTAGCCTTGGTCAGCTGTGTGGTGCATCGCGGAAACGGAAAACTGACGTTGTCGAGTGCCACCAAAAACACGCCCAACATGAGTGAAAACACAACAGCAGCCAGGCGCGCACCATGCGGATATTCATCAGCGGCACGAGCTTTTGCGTCGTAGTTGGCGACATCCCTGTCACCTCGTTCTGAACTTGACACAAGGGTACACGAATGCCGCGGATGGTCTTCGGCCATCACCTGCTGCTCTGAGTCGATGGTTTGCTTGTCCATTGTTGACCAAGTGTGCAAAACGGTGATATAACAGGACCCTTTTCACGTTACGAAATAAATAGTCTGTTTATGTCTCTCGGCCTCGGACGAACACCTGGCGCAACGAACAGACATCTCCGAAGTAGACAAGGTGTGTCACTAGTCGGCCGAATCAAGCTCGGCCCCAGTTCAATCTTCAACAATACTTTCGTAAGGAGACATATCTTATTAGTAGTATTCATGCATTGTATTAGTCTTAAGGACAGAAAATCCAGATCCTTCAAGAGGAACCATATTTTCAAGATACCGCCAACAGAATCGTAAAACTGCATTGCTTGTGGGTTGGACGTTCTCCTAAGCGTGTGCATATCTCGGCTGAATCGTCCAAGGGGCCGTTCGGACGAGTGTCCATTAGTCAGCAGCGAGACAACGACATCTGGAGGCCTTGTCATCTGCAACCACAAAGAAAAGCGCCTCGGACATCTCTAGTACTAATCATCTCGGTCCAAACTTCTTGATATGGTATCTGCACATTTCCGCACTCGCTTAAAGGCTAGTCTCTCTTGCGGCGGTCGTAGCTTGCGACAAGCCTACCCACCGAATGATGAGTGTTCCCTCGGACGAACCCGCAGCGAAGCGCAGAAAGGTTCGCAAAGGTACACACAGCTGCTGGGAGTGCAGGCAGAGAAAAGTCAAATGTATCTTTTCATCGCTGGATGATGCGATCTGCGTCACTTGCCATCGTCGAGGCACGAAATGCATCAGTCAAGTAATCTTGGACCGACCGGAAACGGCTAAGAGCGATACAGGAGATGCTGAGCAAGACGCTGCTATTAATTTACGGCTAGTGAGCGAGAGTGGTGTCCGTTCTCAACCAGATGCTACTGTTGGCTGTTCATCACCGACTCCCTTTGCAAGACATAAAACACCGGCATCGTCAGTGCATGGCAAAGTTAGTATCTTCACATACACGGCTATTCACTAATGATATAATAAAGCAAAAGAATGTGTCGAATCGCCTACAGACTGAGGAATCACCAAGCCAACTCGCGACACCTCAGTTGCCACCAACGCTGGTGTCCAGTCATGCCTCCATTTCGGAGGCTTCCGCATACCCCAGTATCACTCAAGCCCTACGAAGTTCTCTTCCTCCTCGGAAAGACATTGAGGTTCTGCTTGCAAACCTCAGCAGCATGTCCATCTTTTGCTACCAATCCAGCTTCAAGCTATGCAGCTCGTGGCCGAGCGAAATGGCCAAAGAACAAATACCAGTAGCCAATCTCCTATATTCGGAAAGCCACCCAGTCTTGTTGGCAAGGCAAATGCTGCTTTTCGCAGTAGGGTTGCAACACCTATCTCCGACAAAAGCGATACCTGGCCTCACCAAGCATCATCGCGCCATCGTGGAGCAGCTAGCAGACTCAGCCATCAAGCTGGTGAATGCGAATGACGTCTTGCTGGGCACGTTGGAAGGTCTCGAGAACCTCATCCTTGAAGGCTTCTATCACATAGATGGCGGCAACATCCGGCGATCCTGGATCACAATGCGCCGTGCTGTCATGACAGCCCAGCTATTGGGCTTGCATCGACCAGGTCACTATCGCTTCAAAATCGTCAACCAGCAGAACGATCTTGATCCTGCAGTCATGTGGGCCTGTGTGGTTTCCACGGAGCAATTTCTATGCTTGCTGTTGGGTCTGCCCACAAGCACCAGCGGTGCGAGTTTCACAATCCCCAGAGCAACGAGCGCTTGTGTTGAGAGTGGCAACTTGCCTGTACTCATTCCGGATGTGGTACGCAAGATCATCGAAAGGAATCAGATACACGCACCCCAGGAAGCACTTGAAATGACTCAAGAGATCGATCAAGAGCTCTTGAGGGTCACTGAGCAATGGCCACCTACGTTCTGGCGACCATTGCAACTTGCGGGTCTCGAAGTAGACTCGGCGGATGCCTTCTGGGAAACTCGACGAGTTTGGGACCATATATTTTATTACTCTTTAGTGAACCAGCTCCATCTGCCATATATGCTGAACCCAAGGCATACGTCGCAGAGGGTGTACTCAAGAATTGCCTGCGCAAGCGCCAGCCGTGAGATTCTGAGCCGACAGATTGCGATCCGGACGTTTAACCCAGTCACGGCCGGCTGTCGGATGGGCGATTTTGTGGCTCTGATTGCGGGGATGACACTGATGTTGGCCCATATCTTGAGCCACTGTAACAAGGGTACGGAAAACCTACTCATACACCAACGGGTTGGAGACCGGGCGACGGTGGAGCGGGCTCTTGAGTGCATGGAATCCATGTCGGAACTGCATGAAGATGTCCTCACAGCGAAATGTGCTGCCCTTCTCAAGAATTTGTTGGATATTGAGGCGGGGCCTGCAGAGAGGCCCTCGGATGACGGTCAAGAAGACGTTCAAAACGTGTTGATAGTCAAGGTGCCGTACGTCGGTGCCATCAGAATTGCGCGAGACGGTATTTCTATTACACCCTTCGATACGGAGCAGGAGCAAGCTCCCCATGAGGGTGTGACAATTGGTGGCTTTGGATCTATCCATGTCAGAACACCACACGACGCCGACCATCATGCTGATGTGGTCACGTCCGACGCTGCAGCCTCACGAGCAACCGCAGAGGCAGTGGGGACATCTTCAGCACGGAAGCACGGAGGACGGGTTGCCCAGGCCACATCTGGAGACGTTTTCTCACTGCCAGAAGATACATTCCCTGATGCTTCCGCTGGCATGGAAGAATGGCTTTTCCAAGGCCTTGACACTGCCTTCTTTGATGTGCTGATGAGCGGAGCTGGGGAGCAGCCGCTGAACGGCACCGACACTGAAGGATTGAATTTTACGATTTCCCAATGAATGATGATAATTAACGATTTTTGGACTCCAAGGAGCTTTTCTGATTTGCTTGGTGTGAGTGTTGATGCTGAGTGTCTTAATATAGGCTAACATTATCTTCGTCGTTGTCATGCCGCCTAACATTGGTAAAAAAAAAAAAAGTACTATAAGTTAATATTTATATTAGTTAGAAAGGCTTCTCCCTGCGAGTTTAAACCATAGTTCCAAAGTTCAATCGTTACTTTTACGTATTCGAAGTCTTAGGCCTAAGACGGCTTGCTTTTCGTAGTGCTCGATAGGATGCGAGCTATCGTAGTAAATGATTTCATTAGTATGGTAGAGAGATTGGTGAGGTGACTGTGTTGATGCCGATGTATTAATGTCGATGTCGATATATTGATAGGTGTTTACGCTTAAATCACTGAACTTGAAGTTCGGCGGTGAAGGTGAGCGGTGATTGCCGAATCTTCTCTCTCTGCAGCCACGCCTAACTTATTTGCTAGCCACGGATTGACAAACACAGATGTACAATTTTGCTTGATGCTTTGGTATCCACCTGCGCCAAACATAAACCGAGCATGCTCTATATCAAATAAATTCGATCTCCGCTAGTGTCTCTAGCTTATCGCATAAATTACTGTCGTGATAAATCTTATGCAGATAGATGAAGGAGAGACGTTAGGAGTTTCCTAGGTTATAGTACAATGCTATGGTGATTGACTTTATCTTATGTTCTCTAAACATATGTCCTATCTCACCCCTCCCCCCGACGAGTATCTACCGAATATCATTTCCCTAGACGCTCAGGCTATGTGTATACGTAGGAAGTCATCCAAAAAGAGAAGAAGAAGCTAATGTCTATTACCTACTAAATCCGTAGGGCTAGTGCCGCCGTGGCAGTAAGCCACAGTTATGAGACCGTCACAATATGCAACCATATCCATTCCCGCAACAGCTCCAGCTCCAGTCCAGATATTCTCGTAGACGACCTTTTTGTTTACCTTATTCCAGTTGACGGCAAGATAATTCTCTTTGTCCATAGTCATGAGTTGCTTTGATTGGTTTGAGCTGTCCTCAGAGCGTGATATATGAGATTTCAGCGAGATACTCTGCAGTCAGGGTTGGACACAGACATTACGATGTCTGCGTGGCGGTCGCTTGCAGTTGGTGGCCAAGGTCGTGGGTATGAAGCCGGCATTGTATATTCAATGATATCTTTGTCTGTTTCAACGGTATTGCCCTCCTCAACCTACCAGGTCAAGGCGGAGGCATAAATACGACCGGTCATGGAAACTATTTGCCAACGTTGCGCAATCCATGGCCCTAGACCTCATCTAGGAGAGAATCTAGCATAATATCTCCTCCCAACAAATATAATCCCCAACGATATACCGATATATGCAAAACCCTTGAATTGTGCACCCATCTGCGAATGATCCGCGATATAATTCAACGCCTGCCCGTCCACGCCATGCCAAGATCGCCCAGCAGCATGCCGTATCACCGCACCGCTATACCCTTCGTCTAGAAGCCCTATGAAATCCCTTAGTGTGCCGTATATCCAGGAGTACTTTTTAAACGCCGCCGTCAACATGATCGGACCCGTAGACCAAAAGACCTGCAGGTACGGCAAAACCATCCATCGCGGCGTCAGCCCACCTCCCCGCCGCTTCGCCTCGTAAAGAACCCACTGGAGAAGCGGAGACCCACGCTCAGCCATAAAGAAGTGATTACTTAGGCCGAGGGTACCTGCCGTTGGGGAGAATATTGCTTGCAAGCCGAGATGTTGGAGGCATTGTATGTGCTCGGCGGACCTGGGGTACACGTCTAGGTCCGCGTAGATGCCGCCTTCAGTATGGACAACAAGCAGTCTAGCAATGTCGGCACGTTGGATATTGTGAGGATACTCCATGTATGTCGGCAGTAGCCAGGCGTATTTGGACTTGATGAGTTTGAGGACGTCGTCGTCAGTCCAGAGCTTGATGGTGTAATTTTGGGGCTCCAGCATAGTCTTCCATGACTCATGTGACGGTTCCATTTCCGTAGAATACGCTTGGAGTTCGGTTGTTTTCCATATTTGGTGGACAGTGTTGGGTATTCCAGGGTCGAGTATAAGGGTAAAGTTATCGAGAGGTTCGAAGGCATCAGCAGTGCATGCAGCGATTATCCTTATAGACTCGGACAACCGCTCGGCGAGGGCAAAATCGTCCGCGTAGCTGAGTCGATGGATAACGAAGACAGCGAGAGAGAGAGCTACCAGAATGACGAGCCTTCTCATTCCCTTTCCAAAGAAGGCTACCATCGTAGTTTATCTGGAGATGAGACGTAGGTTTGACGGTGACGGGACATTAATCGGCGACGAATTGTCTTTGAACGATTGCTGAAGCATAAAGGCTAAGGATCAACTCAGACGCTTGAGCGGCACCTCTTGTTCAAAGATAAGTCCGAAGCTGGCCATGCCCCGTTTCCGACAGTGTTGATCCCATCAGCGCAAAAGAGTATGTTTCATTTCGGATCAGAATTAATTCCCGACATATCTGCATTCGCCTACTTGTCTCTGGCTGTGAAAAGGAATATCAGCCTTGTAGTAGCCTTTGATAGTACTGTCGTGGCAATACTGGAGGAATAAGTCGCTGCCTAGTTTACGCTTTTCCGAACTTTCACTGCTTAAAACACACCAGGATGGCTTAGTTTAAGACATGGCGAATTGTATCAATCATACGTGGATCTTGCGGATTATTTATAGATAAATACTACAGAAATCCCTGAATATATGTCGTAATGAGTCAAACGGGCATGCTCATATTAAAGACAAGCCTTGTGGACGGAAACACTGAGAGACTAGAGCTGCTAAGACGGGAAACCCTAGGTATGCATGAGCATCCTAGGCAGGACAAACAAAAGAGTAACCGGAACTCAATCGTGGCCCGATACATGCTCGACAGGCAACTTGTCCTGGCACCGGCAGCAGTATATGGTGAAGTAGAACTGGACACAGAAATTTCCAGTATGAAGTGACTGCGGTTGAGAAGTGGTTGTCAATCCATGCGTAATTCAAGCGATGTAGATTTTAATAACAGCTTCAGACAATGTATATACAAATGGTGCAAAGGGCCGCATGAATCTTGCCCTTGAAGATCAGAAGAACTCCCGAATTTCTGAGAGCTTCAGTAGAATGTCGCTGATATTTGAATGACTCGCGGAGAGAAATAATAGACGGAACCATCAACAGCTTAATCGAAACTTCAAAACATGCACGTTCTCACAGTGTATGTTCATTTCTTTCTTTGTGTCTACTTGGCATTTAGGAAGGTGACTCGACATCCACGTCAAGCATCACTGGGTATTTCAGAGATTACTGAGAAGGACGCGGTGGTGGCTTGGAGTTTTGCTCCAAGAGAGGTGGTTGGCAATCGTGTGGCGCATCAATCCAATCTTCGTTTCGTTCATTGGGGCTTGGTTGTTCAATGCGAATGTCGGTGAACACACTCAAGCTCAAAGATTAGAGTGTCCACAGTGACCGAACGGAGAAGAAAAAGTAACGAACTCAACCGATTCGTTGCTTGCGTCTAACCCAAACTTCTTTGTCGGTATCTCCGCAGTCACGTAGCTGTACTTCCCACACCTTGAGAGTGTAGTTGCCACGATCTGCACGCCCAGAAAAGATGTCAAACGACCAATTGTGCTTAGGACATGTGATACCGGTGCTCAGGACAATGCCAAAGTCCTCAATATCGAAGAGGTGGCCCTGGGACAGGGGAAATGAAGAGTGAGGGCATTGCTACGTTGGGTCAGCTTCATCTTTGAGGGGCTCCTGTTGGCTTACATGGTCAATTGCATGGACCTTATCCTTGTATTTGAATACCATCACTTGGTCCTTCAAATCTCCTGGCATGTCCAGTTCTGCCTCAACCGGTGACTGGCCGATGGGGATTTTGAAGGCTTTGCATCGTGGTGCGATCTTACCATCATCGAGATTGGGCAGCTCCGATACTAAGCCAACTCGGTGCCACACCTTTCGCACGAATGGATTCATGGAGGTGAATGTTGGTGGAAGATCTTTTCAGCGCCAAGTCCGGTGGGTCCCGACATAAATACGGAGTAGGTGCCGAACCCTTTCTCTTTTCCGTACTCTGTAGCACTCACCTATTAAATTCGATGCACGAAGCTATTCAGGTTATTCTGAAATGGGACTAGTACGTATATTTAGTTCTATACCGTAATTGGCACAGGACGTGATAACGAATCATCCATGTCACTGGCTAGGTAGTTTTGCCCTGGAATTAGAGCAGTTCAATTCATGTCCGGCCTATCTACATAGATGGATTATTTCACACACATAAAGCCACAGCCTTCGCGGGCACGCTCGCATGCTTTCTTCAGCAATTGCTCTTCGGTGTCAGTCCATTTGTAGGTCAGAGAATCCCACGGCTTGCCGGATTTGAATTCCTCACGGTGTTGCTTGTGGATAGCTTGTAATCGGCTAACCTCACGCGGATCTCCAGTTCCAGAATAAACCATGAAGAGAGTACACGGGGGAAGAGAGTCGTAGATGCGCGATATGTTGGAGACCGTTCGGGAAACGGTCTCAGCTAGAACATCAGGCTGTGGGACGTCTGTTGAAGCACTGCCAGTGGCTGCGGTGGGTGTAGTTTCCTCCGGCGGAGGAATAAGAGTCGTGGATTCATTGGCATTGTTCGGGTCTGGCATGCGGTTGCACCAGCCGCGGAGGTACTCTAGCTCGCGGAGACGAGCCCAGGCGAAATCGACACCACCCCCTGGAATAGAAACATTGGATTCATCACCATTGATCACTGCAGAGACACCGTTGACCACCGCGTCATCATCTTGGCATCCGATGGAGACTGTTGCTTGTGAGCCGAAACCCCGTTCAGGGTTGCCCCAGTCAACCACGGCACCTGTTCGTTCTTCGCCTGGACGAGGGACATAGGCCGGTCGGACAGAGCGAGAGAGACGACGGAAGATGCTCTCATTGGAGGAATCGCTGGTGCCCCAGCGCTCGCCTTTCTCGCACTTCAACTTCACAAGTTCAAGGACAGCACGGGCATCTTCAATGGAGTCATGACCGGCCATCCCATTTTGAATCTGCTTGCCCATGTACTTTTGGGTCAGCCACTTCAGGCTGCATTTGAGGGGTGGACCACGTGGATGCGGGTAGATGATGCTGGTGTCGACGATGAAGGGGTGAACGAGTTTCAAGGCAGTGAGGTCGGAGTTGAGAGAGTGTCCCACGAGGATTGCACGCGGTGTAAGGATGGCCAAGAGCCGCTGCTGAATGTCGGCAAGGGTCGTTGTCACAGGTTCCAGCATCTCTGGTGTGATTCCCGAGAAGCGCGTCAAATAATTAATAACAGGCCGATCGGGTTTAACCAGCTCATCCAGAACCACGTCTCCGTCCCAACGAACCATGCTAATACGTGTGAGTTCTGACTGACCCCCTTCTGTGATGCACATTTCACAATCAAGGGCGAAAACATCCCGTCCAGCAGTCATGCTGCCCTTTTCAATCTCCGCGTCCGGCACCTCGGCGGATTCCAGTGTCGAAACTTGAGTATCCACCCATCCATGTTCCGCTGCATTTCCACTTCGTCGACGAGCCTCCGCCTGGGAAGACTTCTCCTCCTCCGATGTGAAAAACGCAGGGTGCAGTATGTAGTCGCTGTCTTGGAGGTCTTCGCGGGAGGTGACGAAGGCGGTGATCGGCGTCCGCTTAGGGACGAAGCCTTTCTCGACTTTCGGAGGGCGCGCGCCCTTTCCACGGGACTCGTCATTCTTGGATTTGGGAGCCGAGGACAGCAGAATGGCCTGCAATGGCGAGTGGACCTTGTTGTATTTGTTGTCGCCCGGCGCTTTGACGGGCCAAATGTGTGGGAAGATGTCTGCCAACGGCTGAAGGGGCTGGGCCAGGTTGTCACGAATGAGAGGACGAGGATTGAAGCGGTGCGAACGGTCTTCCTGTGGCAGACCTTGTTTCCATCGTTCGAAATCGGCTGCCCGCTCGTCTTCTGGCGATTCGGTGGGTGGCGGTTGGTTGGGCTTTGTTTCCTCCGAGTTCTCCTTGGCCGGTTCCACAGGAATGGTTCCATCGAACATGCCCATCTCGAGTCCTGGTACCATCAGTACAACCACCTTGCGCACATGGCCAGAATGCTTCATCGAGATCCATTGCGGTGCGATTCCATCGGCGAAGCAGTAGAGAAGTAAGCCCTGAAGATCTGCGATTCGGATGGATGACTGCAGCTTTCCCTCCGCATAGGTGAGATCTGGGTATTTCACCTTCTCACCGTCCACTCTCTTCCGCTTCTTCATCGCACTGCTGTTTGAGTCTTCAGTGCTCGGGGTGTCGCCTTGCACACGGGACAAGGTCTCGGCCACGCCATTGCCGTGGGAATTGGACTCGTCGGAACTGAGCTTTCTCTTCCGATTCCCCATATCGGCTTGGTTTTCTTTCGGAGCTTCGCAAGAGGAAATTCGCGAGATAGAGGAAGTCACATGGAGATATGGGATCACGTGTGGAAAAGGCGTGACAAGTGCAAACGGTGCAAACGGCGCAAATCCGATCTGATAACCGGAGGATTGCGTGGGATCGTGGGGAGCAGATTCACCCTTACGACACAACCTCTATTTGTCTACACTTCTCGCTCTCGCTTCCGTATACCTTGTATACCCTGAGTACCGAATCTTGCAGGAATATTGCCGACCCCGGCCACTCTCCTCTTTCCCGCCATTCCACCATGTCCGCGCTCACCGAAATCACATCCGAGGCCGACTTCTCGTCGCACCTTTCCTCTCTCTCGCCCACTGCATTGGTCGTCCTTTACTTCCACACCCCATGGGCGGCTCCATGCGCGCAAATGGGCGCTGTGCTCTCCGCCCTCGCTTCGCAGTACCCCGCCACAACCCCGCCTACCATCTCGTTTGTCAGCATCAATGCCGAGGAGCTTCCTGATATCTCGGAGGAGTATGACGTTTCAGCCGTGCCCTTCGTCGTCTGTCTGCGCAGTGGTCAGATTCTGGAGTCGATTAGTGGAAGTGATGCTGTGAAGGTGCGCGATGCTGTCGAGCGTCACGCGGGCCGCGGGCATGCAGCAGGCGCTAGTCCGATGGATGCTGTGAGAACCGCCATCCCTCCACCGCTGTCTGCTGTTCCTCGTGAGGACGGTCCCATCACTGCTACTCAACCTCCTGTCTCTGCATCTCAAGCACCTCCTGCCGACTCGGCCAATGCCACCGCTGTCGCATCGGCTCCCGGCCTGACGCCAGAACAATCCAAGGAGGCCCTGTTTGCCCGCCTTGAGCAGCTGGTCAAGGCCGCATCAGTTATGCTTTTCATGAAGGGTACCCCTAGCAGCCCGCAATGTGGCTTCAGTCGACAGCTGGTGGGCATTCTTCGTGAGCGCAGTGTCAAGTACGGATTCTTCAACATCTTGGCCGATGAGGACGTGCGACAGGGTCTTAAGGAATACGCTGAGTGGCCTACTTTCCCTCAACTGTGGGTTAACGGGGAGTTGGTTGGCGGTTTGGACATTGTAAGTGTCTCAGTATTGGTGTTCTATTTGATCCAATTGCTAATTATTTGATTCAGGTCCGCGAGGAAATCAACGCCGATCCCGACTTCCTCAACGAGTTCTCTGTGAACAAGCCCACCGCAGCTTAAGTCTTTGGCTTTCGCTGCACGATACCCATGACTTCCCTGTCCCTGGGGCTAGATGCTAAAAATCTAACATAATGATATATGCTTAGTTCTGGCGAGGCTTCTGTGCATGTTAGATTGTTTTCTCTCCACCCATTCACCCTTCACCTACCACACTTCGTTGCTTCTAGTTCAACTGAGCAGTATCCAAACCATTCATCGCGGACATCACCGATCTCTTTTCCTAGATTCAAATGTATATACACAAGTTTCACCTTAGTAAGGATTATCCACGGCGCCTTCAGCCTGTAAGATCAAAGCCGAGATACAAGCCCACTGCAAGAATATTGATGCAATGCCATACGACCTCATTGCCATGCAACCTCATTACCATGCCATGTGAAGATAACAAGGTTGCCTGCCCAGTACTCTCCAAACTTTGCAAGTACATCCGAGGGAAATCATCCTCACTTCTACTAAAACCAGATATCCGTTTCTTCAAGCACTGGAAGCATTGCCTTAATTCAGGTCTATTTTCAATTGCAGCGTATCCTCTTCTTTAAATTATTTTGCTCACTTCTTCCAGGCTGCAGGAAATTTTTTCCGGGCAACGGCGAAGCAAGAGAGCAGAGCATCGGTGTCGACATATGCACCTGCTAACCAGCGGGATCCTCCAGTGGAGTCGAATTGCCGGCGCGCATGAACAATTCGTCGGTTGTCAAAGATAGCACACTCACCTGGGTTGAGCTTGAGCTCAAAGGTAGCACTCTTCTGTTCGATGAGCCCAGTAAAGACTGAAAGGGCATCTTGCAACTTGTTTATAGATTGGGGATCATGTTCATTGCCTCTCGATGGCGGAAGAGCAGATTGAAAGGGGGGCGAGTAATTCACATGGCGTAGTTCTTTTGTTTTAGGGTCCAGCTCGAACACTGGTCGCTCGTTATAGTAGATGCTGTTCTCATGTCTGTACTCGTAGCCCAAATGCTGCTCACAAAGCTCGCTAAATTCAGGCCGGTAATCATCACGCATGGTTTCGGCTGCATAAAACGCGTCCGCGAACAGCGACTCGCCTCCCTGGCACGAGTTCTCCAAGCAGTGGAGGAGTTGGTATCCAGGTGGCTCGTTCATATACATCAAGTCCATGTGGAAACCAAGAAACGTGTTGGTATATGCCACATTTTGCGCATTTGGAACAGTCCGCACATCAAAAGTTGATCCATAAAACGTGTTGCGCAGGGGACCCATGCCTGTGGCGATCTTTTCAACCATCTCCCTGGACTTGGGAATATCTTTAACGAATATCAGACCCTTAGATTGCAAGTGACACATGGCTCTGGCAAACCCAGGACCACCAGCAACGTAGTCTTCGTACGAAATCCAATGCTGGTCTTGTTCCATGCGTGTTCCACCCCATGGCACCGGTCTAGTGTCCTCTGTCAGGTCATGGGGGTTGTGCCTGGGCTCTTGCAGATCCTTGAGGAGCCATGCCGACTTGTGGTGGGCTGGATAGCCGGGGATGTCATTGGTCCATTGAATGACAAGGTTGATCCCGTTCCACTTGACCGAGTGAGGAACAACATTCTTTGGAATATCGTTCGTGCGGAAAGGACGCTGGTGCGAGTGTTGGTCCTTACACAGAGGACACTGACAAAGATCGCGTAGGTAGGTATAAGGCAGTTTCATTGTTCTACCATCCTCGCAATGCAAGTACAACACCTCCTTGTCCAGCCAGCATTGGCCGCGACCCTCCACGATAACATTCTTATGTGTAAAAGACTTTGGAGCTGCAGCTTGAGAGGCCGATTTGGGAGCTTTGCGGAGAGTTTCGGTAATTTCACGTAGTTGTTTTGCTATGCTTGTTGAGTCGTGGGGGTCAGATTGCGGAGAACTGTTGGCCCGATTAGCCGCAACGGAAAAGCTACGACTAGGCATTGGGCGTGATAATCCTTTCGGCAGCTGCCGAAGGACAGCTGGAGTTCGTAGACGATGCATGGAGGTAGTGAGGTGAATTGAAGGAGAATTGAGGCAGTGAACAGAGCCGAGAGAACGTGAGAGTCGACCTGTTTCGCGGGGGACCTCGGCTGAACGGCTGACACCTCAGGCAGAAGTAAGACCTCAGGCATTAATATTCCTGCCTCAGGCCGCTATCATTCTTCATCTCGGAGGCGACTCAAACTTACGTAAAGTCTTGTTTTTGTTGCTCATTCCTGTCCTAGCCATGGCAATTCTCTGATTCATTTCTTCCCAATGTCAGGGGCCGAGCATCTCAAAGATGAAGGCACCAAACGACAGGTCGTGCTGGCCGGCGGGATCGCCGGCCTGATCTCGCGGTTCTGCATTGCGCCGCTGGATGTTGTCAAGATCCGACTGCAACTGCAGATACACTCACTGTCAGACCCAATCTCACACCAAGGGGTCGATGGTCCAGTTTATAAGGGGACGCTGTCCACAATGCGGGCAATTGTGAAGCAAGAAGGAATCACCGTACGTTCCGGCCTTGGAAACAGTCGGTACCAATACTAACCCAGTGACAGGGTCTTTGGAAGGGCAACATCCCAGCCGAGATGATGTATGTCTGTTACGGTGCCATCCAATTTACCGCATATCGAGGAACAACACAGGCCCTGGCTCAACTCGGCCCCTACCGACCCCCTTCATCCGCCGAATCCTTCATATCCGGTGCTGTAGCAGGTGGGTGTGCCACAGGAGCAACATACCCGCTGGACCTCCTCCGCACACGGTTTGCGGCACAGGGCTCAGACCGTGTATATGGCTCATTGCGGGCTTCGGTGATGGATATTGCGCGACAGGAGGGCATGCCAGGGTTCTTCCGGGGCTGCTCCGCCGCTATTGCGCAAGTCGTGCCATACATGGGCCTCTTTTTCACGACATATGAAGCGCTCAGACCAGCTATGGCCACGTGGGATGTCTTACCATTTGGTACAGGGGATGCTGCTGCTGGTGTGTTCGCCAGTGTATTAGCCAAGACCGGTGTGTTTCCGCTCGATCTGGTTCGCAAGCGCTTGCAGGTACAAGGGCCGACAAGGACACGATATGTCCATCGCAATATTCCCGAATACAAGGGGGTTATCCAGAGCATTGCGTTGATTCTGCGCACACAGGGCGTCCGGGGGTTATACCGTGGGTTAACGGTGAGCTTACTCAAGGCGGCGCCGGCGAGTGCAGTGACCATGTGGACTTATGAGCGCGCATTGAGCGCTCTTGAAAAGCTGGAGGTTGCAGCCGCCACCTGAACGTTTGTGTGGCTTTACTAGCATCCACCTGCATGGAGCATTGAATGGCGTTGGGAATACAAGGTTAATAATAGATTTAGGCGAAAATTCATAAAGACATGGGATTTCTTTTTCAAACTCTTCCTTTTCGTGCCTTGAAATCCGTCCTTCTTGGTCAAGATAACGCCAGTTCTCCTAACAAGGCTTGAACGCTAAGAACAACAGTGAAGACGTCGTCAAACAGACCTTAGCATAGCCTCAGCCAAGGGAAGAGCAATATGTACTGAAAGGGACAACGGGCCGAGCGCAATCAGTACTCAGTCTCTCCTGCCTCCACAACGCTATCTTCGGCCACCTCCTCGTAGTCCTTCTCAAGAGCAGCGAGATCTTCACGAGCCTCGGAAAATTCACCCTCCTCCATGCCCTCACCCACATACCAGTGTACAAAAGCACGCTTGGAGTACATGAGGTCGAACTTATGGTCAAGGCGGCACCATGCCTCGGCGATAGCTGTAGTGTTAGCCAGCATGCTGACCGAGCGGTCCACGGGAGCGAGCTGACTGCCAGGGACACGGACAGGCTTTTGGTAATTGATCCCCAGTTTGAAGCCTGTAGGACACCACTGTACCAAGTTGAAGGAGGTCTTGGCCTTGAGAGCAGCGACAGCCTGCACACAGTCGCGGAGAACGATATCGCCCTTGTAAAGCAGAGCCACAGCCATGTACTTGCCCTTTTGGAGATCACAGATGACCATCTGGTTTCTTGGCTCAAAGCCTATGAGCGAGTCAGTCAAGAGGAATATATCAAGTTGGACAGGGTGACAAACATTTGAAGGTGAGATCTTGCACCTTGAAGCTCTCATGAGAACTGCTCTTCTCGCTGTTTACCGGAGCATACGAGATCAAAGGATAGTGAATACGCGGATATGGTACCAAGTTGGTCTGGAACTCGGCTAGGTCGACGTTGAGCACACCATCGAACCGTAAGCTTGAGGTGATGGAGCTGACCACCTGGGCGATGAGACCGTTCATGTGCTCGTAACCAGGACGGGGGATATCCAAGTTGCGGCGGCATAGGTCGTACACGGCATCATTGTCCACGAGGAAAGTGCAGTCGGAGTTCTCAATGGTGCTGTGGGTGGACAGCACGGCGTTGTATGGCTCCACCACTGCAGTCGAGGTACGAGGCGAAGGGTAGACCGAGAACTCCAGCTTGGACTTGCGGCTGAATTCAGTGGTGATACGTTCCAATAGCAGGGCGCCAAATCCAGAACCCGTACCGCCGCCGTATGAATGGAAGATCATGAAACCCTGCAGAGAGCTGCAGTTGTCTATGAAATGATCAGCCTGGACCCACCGACAACGCCTTCAACGTTTCACTTACCGGCCACACGACGAATTCGATCAACAACGCTTTCAGAGATGTCCTTGCCTACGGTGTAGTGGCCACGTGCATCTGCCACATGTTAGCTTTCCTTGTTCTGCCAGTGACTCCAAGGTCGAGACTTACAGTTGTTTGCAGCATCTTCCTTTCCGCTGATCAGCTGCTCGGGATGGAAGAGTTGACGGTATGTACCGGTGCGGATCTCGTCGATGGGCTACCACACTCCGTTAGTCCAGCTTTCCAATGTGTTTCAAGGTACATGCAGGCACATACTGACGGGTCGAGGTCAACAAAAATAGCGCGAGGGACGTATTTGCCGCTGGTGGTCTCTGTGAAAAAAGTCTCATAAGATCCGCTTGTCACAGTGTCATCGGTCACATCAGGGTTGATGGATCCGTCGGCGTTGAGTCCATGCTCAAGTAGGTAACTGTCTCTCGTCTTAGCATGGGAGTGGTGAGGCAACGGGTGGACATACAGCTCCCACGCAGCATTGCCGATCTGCACACCAGCTTGGCCAATGTGAATATGGCAAACCTGAGGTCTCAAGTTAGTATCAGCTCGCTTGCTTAGGTTTTTCGGGCTTGGAAGCCAAGTAGCATGCGTGTCATGGGGAGGTGGAGATGCCGGGGAAGGGTAAAGGACAATCAGAGCAGGGCTTAGAACGTTACCTCGCCTCGCATATTGCCGTTACTTGACTACAGTGTCAAGACGGAGGAATCCGAAATAGAGAGGGAGATAGGAAGAGAGTGCGAGATGGAAGAGGTTTGTGTTGGCGTTCGGTGACAACAAATCTCCCCAGCAAACTGCCAAACTGAGTACAATTTAGCTACAGGCTGAAAATCGAAAATTATGTTCGTTCTTCATTCTTCACTCGTTTATGATTTGAGCTTTCTTTGGAACTATCTGAATTCCGCTGTATGAACACTATACATACCCAGCTGCTATATTCACATATATTGCCATGCCCTTCCTTATAGATAGCCCGTCTTTCTAGACCAGTAGACTTCCATGCTTCAATCGCCTTGTCTTGTATGACAAAATGCCCGGAATTCTGATCGTGTCGATAGCAAATTCTGAGGCCGGTCACATTCAACGAGGTGGCCCTGCTTCATTAGAGCAACCCGGTCAAACCGCTCTATAAAACGCAAACGATGTACCACTGAGATCACTGTCTGAGATGCAAACTCGCGTTCGATGATAGCCTGCATCGTGGCTTCAGTCTCCCAATCCACACTAGAAATTGTCAGTTACTGTACAACTGGAGAGAACGCAAAACATGCCTGCTAGTCGCTTCGTCCAATACCAGGATTGCACTTTTCATCACCAATGCGCGCGCCAGAGCAAGGAGCTGACGCTCACCCATTGACCAGTCCGATACTGATAATGGCTGGTCAAGTCCTCCATCCCCACTGGCAATCTTTTTCCAGAGACCTACTGTCTCAAGAGCATCTATGAGACATGCGTCCGGGAGGCTGCTGATGGCAGTCCCACGATCCAGGTTAAATCTCAGGGTACCAGGTATGAAAAATGGTTCCTGTGGGATAACATTGACACGAGAGCGCACCTCATGGCATTGTAAGGTGCTGAGATCCATCCCGTCTATCTGGATGCTGCCACTTTGCAGCTCAATCATTTGCAGCAGACCGAGGATTAGTGATGTCTTGCCACTACCTGACGGGCCACATATTGCGATTTTCTCGCCTTGCTTGATTGAGAGAGAGACGTTATTCAAGATTGGTGGAGCATCAGGGCTGTTTATTATCTGGGTCAGTGCGAGTGTGGTGATATAAAGTAACCCAAGGGGAGCCATACCTATACCTCGCCACGGTATTTTGAAATATGACTTCCCCGTAAGCAGGCCACTGAGGCGGGAGGTCAGCCATAGTACCTTCAGGCTCAATCTCTGATGGTGTGTCCTTGACAAAGCTTTGGACACGCGAGACTGCCCCGATAGAAGTCTCAAGCATAGTCCAAGACTTGATCAAGATCATGAGATCTGTATTAAAACTTAAGATCAGGTTCAAGGCCACACCGATGGAACCCGCGCTAAATTGGCTTTTCAATGAAACAACCAGCGAAACTAAGATGACCGCGAGAGCCATAACAACACAGTCGAGGACCAGTTGCAGCCACTGCTGGATGCAGAAGAGCATATAGAATGGTTTTTGTGATCGGTTGAGTGCATCTTCCAACCGTTCTTGGAACGGCACCTTCCATTTCATGGCTCGAATGGCAGATATGCCTTGCATAGTCTCCACGAAATGTGTGAACAAAGGTGACTTTGCCTCAATGTCGAGCAGACGCACTTGTCGCGAGGTACGGAGGTAGTACCTCTGGACGAAAAACAGAATGACTCCTAAGGCAGGGACGGTTATTGTCAGATACTTTCCCATGATGCAAAGTATGACAAGCTGCACGCAGCAGTTGGAAAGCCCTATCAATTCCATCAGTTCAGGCACGAGAGGGTATTTGAACACTAGATTGTATCTACCAAGATATGTGTTGATTGCTTGACTTGGGAGAGTCATATCAATGAGCTCCATGTCCTGGCTGAATCTGCGAGAATTAGTACGCACAGCACATATCATCTCAAAACCGGAAGCACACACCGATTTGTTGTCAGCCCAGCATCGACCTTTTGAAAGAAGCTAAAAGGGGCACTGGAAAAGAAGGTCAGCGTTACAGGCATCTCATGGGCAAATTCAGAAGAGTCTATACTTCAAGGTAGATCTCAGAAGATGGGCGTGCATCATTAGGCCGGTGTTATTGATGACGCGGACAAACAACGCCCTGAATTCCTTTAGTCAGTAGCATACCATGGAGACTCTCTGATGTGACTGACCAGCAGGCAGCAACAAGCGACACGAGAGAAATTCCAAACAATCCCGCATATACGCCGAGATACAATCCCGGTTTCTGATTCGGGTGTTGCTCGTTGGCATCGGACCATCTTTGAAGCCAGATGGCTAGGTCACAGTCAGAGAGAAAACATTCAAGTCAATGGCGACAACTCACTCGTAAATTTATCTGAGAATCCAAAGAGCACAACCGAAGTTGCGAGAATAACAATCATCTTCCAGCCTGCGGACTGGAGGTAATATGCATAAACGGACCATGTACCATCTCTGCGAGACATGTCTTGATCGGTTTCTTCAGCCTCGCGTAATTGGACAATTGGATCAGAGTTCTTAGTCTGCAACTTGCTAACATTGTATACTTTTTCGTCCGATGAAGCTTCACTGGATTCGGTATCGCTGTCTTGGGGCAAAGAATGTCGAATGCAGTCGTACGTCGTGATGTTTGTCACTTTTCCATCGTCCAGCACAATGATTTCATCAGCGTATGCGAGTACTCGATCTGTAATTCTATCAATCCAGCCCGTGTGTCGCATTTCTGTTTAAACTTACGGTTGTGCGTTGCAAGGATAACAGTTCTTCCAGAATCCTTGAAGTGCCCATCGGACGCGAAGAGGCGAGATGTTATAGTACTTATGGACTTGTTATCCAGTCCACTGAATACATCATCCAGCACCAAAACTGGAGCACGCGAATAAAGGCCTCGGGCAAGGGACTGTGTTTGTGTCAGATCAATGGTCTTAAGTTTGTCAAAGGCTCATCACATACAATTCTTTGCTTTTGACCACCGCTGAGCGTTACCCCAGAACTGCCGGCCTTGGAAAGATCTCCTCCAGGGATGTCTTCAAGGTCATTTTCCAAAGCACACGCCCAAATGACAAACTTATACCACTTTGGGTCGAATGATGACGGGCCTGTGATGTTTTGGCGAATCGTGTCATTGACGATCCACGCAGTTTGAGGACAGTAAGCGACCGTTGACTGGAACGGTGATATTGATCCTTCTGTCAACACAGTTTCACCGAGTGCGCTTTCCAGTAGCGTTGATTTGCCGCTTCCAACGGGTCCTATTACGGCCGTGATCATCTTTCTCTTGACTGCAAATTCCAAATGGTGCAAGACTGGGGAGGTTTCCTGGGACCAAGAAAAGCTGGCTTTGTGGAATTCTACTACTGAATCCTGCGAGGTTGGCGGTAAATTCGAGAGAGTGTCAGAGAGCTCTATGGAGTCTGCCCATACATTCTCGTCTGCAAAGTCAAAAGGAACTTTGGTACAATACATCTCGATGCGGTCGAAACATGCAATGGACTGATATAGAGATGGGAGAAGTTGAACAAAAATGAGCAACGGCGCAGTCATCAGGGAGATCAAAGAGAGTGAGGTGAACACTCGTGTCGACAAGAGCGACTCACTGCCTTTGGCCGCGGAGATGATAGTAAAGATGCTGAAGGTAGCAAAGGGTGCCAGGGTGAGAGGAATGTTTGCTAGTTTTACTATCAGTATACCGAAAGCTGCTTGTTCCCGCTGAGTATGAACGAGCAACTTACACAAAATGACCTGGCCGACAAGCAATCTCCGAAATCTTTCAGAGACTTGCAGCTCTACTCGCCGCAACTGGGATACAGACTCGAACAGCTTCTCGGTCAGACCCAGCATTTTGATAGACTTCATGTCCTGCAACATGCTGGATGTTACGCTCAGTCTAGCTTGAACCCGCTCAATCCATCGGCTGATGGCTATGTTGGACTTTTGGGAAATCGGCACGGTGGCAATGACAGCAACTACATGTCTGTTAGAGCTAACACAGTCATAATGCAGGAGATCGCCTTACGGAGTGAAATAACTGCTGGGATCAAGCAAGCAACCCCCAGTTGTCGTTCCAATAGAAATATCCCAACACCCACTTCCAACGGGGCTGCCCATACCTCGTGCAGAGCATGGAGCGTAGAGACAATGCGCTCAACATCGGTACCCATCAAGGTTATAGCGGGCTTGTCTTTGAAGTCGCCTGAGCGGAGCTTCGTGGTCTGTCGGTATATCAGAGGAATAAGACCTGCGCGAGACATGGTGTTGAGGCGGAACGCTTGGCGCCAGTATACTGCGTTTGAGATCTGGATAGGTTGTCAACTATCTCTAGGGGCATGGATTTGCTACATAAGATACATACAGCCATCCCTAGGTATGTGAGCACATACGCGCCCACCAATGCAGACCCATAGATCTTATTCTCTGGGGTCGACGGCGAAGACACAAAATTCAAGGTGGCCGAGATGAGGAACGGTTGACAAAACTTGAACGCAGAGAGACAAAGTCTGGGGACGATGGCGCTAATCAACGGCAAGAAGTATGCACGACAAGCAGCTCGTAGCAGGCGATGCTTAGACCCCGGCTCGACTGTACGGTTTCATAAGCATTGAAGTCCGAATTTAATCTCCAAGACTTCTTACCACAAGCCCATGCTTTCAGAATCTTCCTTTCAGCCTCTGCCCCCGTCAACGCATCGTCAACATTGGGCATATCATGAACCGAAAGGATGGTTGAGAATCCAGTGCGAAACAGTGGGATCACCCAGATAAAGAAGCTCCGAACCCAGAAGCTCGCGGTGACTTCTTTACTTGGCTGCCGATAGGCCATGCGCAAACGCTGAGTCTTGTGCACAGATTCGATGCTCAGCACAGCAGCCGTGCCAACACAGACCAATGTCCATAAAATAGCCGATTTGGTAGCATTCACTGATAAAAGCCAAAGAGTGCGGGCCCGAGCGAGTGAAAGAATACTTGTGACAGCAAAATAAATGATCATCAAGTCCGATGGCCGTATCGAGCGTTGATCTTCCAGCCATGACAAGAGGAGCGATATCATGATAACAACGACATCCAGAATGCTAGAAGCCAATGCTAGGCTTGTGTATAGATGGGGGTCCTGGATGCGAAATGCGAGATATAGTAGATGGAAAAGTAATAGCAAGCCGAGAACAGCCTATACGGGACACCGTTCAGTATCTCGGGCTTGTGTAGTATGGAAACATCATATATACGTACAAGCTTCCACGTCGCCAACCGATGTGAGTTCACTTTCACCGGAGCACGAACAAGGACACTGAGACGTGCTGTCGCGGCCAGGAGAAACAGGCTCGTTGGTAAGACCGTGAAAAGCGCATCTTCGAAAAGAAGTGTGAAATCAAAAGGCCGACAGGAGAGGTTCACTCGCGGGCCGAGAAGATTATCACTGCCAGCTGGACAAGACATGGCAGATGGATGAGGCTCTGAAAGAGAAAGCCCGTCAGCTTTATATGGCGTTAGGCTCCGATGTTAGAGCTCCGAACTCCGAACCCTCTAACCCCGATACTTATCGATGCAACCTCACTGGAGGTTGAAGAAATCCAAATTAATCCGAGTTGTGTCACTTGCAAAAGTACTGTAGTACTGTGGATGATGTTTGTACGTATAGAGAATTTGATTGGAACTTGATGCATAGACACATAGATGCGATTATCACACATGAATGGAAAAGGGGGTTCTTTATATCGAGGTCAAATCACAACCCGAACGCTTTACATGACGCAGAAGATGAAAAAAGAGGGTTAAAGACTGGTATGGGGATATATGTATGGTAGAAGGAGAGATTAGTCGACAGAGCGCACCAATGTAAGTGCCTGTGCAGCAAAGAAAGGGAATAAAATGGGAGTTTATGTGCAGTCAAAATGAGATCAGAAGGTCTAATCAACAATCACACAGCTGTTCACTCAGTTCGGGTGCTCCTTGGAACCGGGGACTGAGGCAGGAGGAGGAGGGGGTAGATCGGAGCGACCCTGTTCCATGAGGTCGTCGCGATCTTGACTGAGATTGCTGCGATGGTGGAAGAAGCGGTTCCGACTGAGAGAGGACTGGCCGCTGCGGAAGCTGTGAGCGTCGGTCGACCGGCGACCTCCGTCGTTGCTGGGAGCACTCAGATTCGAGGGGCGACGGTGCCGGGAAGAAGAGGTCCGACTCCGACGTTCCTCCTCTTCTTCAGTGACTTCTTGCATGCGGCGCTCGGTGGCATCGCGGTTGGCACTGCGGACGACATCGTCGACACGCACACCGCGGTCCTCAAACACATCGCCCATGATGTCGTTGGAGGCCATGTTGGACATTCCCAAGGAGAAATCGACGTGCTTGTGCTGCGAAACGGATGGACCACGGGCGCGGGCAGTGGCAGTGTTCATGCCCTTTCGGAGAATGGATGGGTGGCGGGCGGCGCTGCTGCTGCTGGTGCCGGTGTTTTCGGGGAGATGGTGGGACTCGGAGAGAGGGATCTCCTCGGCTTCGGCAGGCTCTTCGGGGCTGCCACGGGGACCTGCCGAGCGCGGGTTGCCATAGTTGACATGGAATGGGATGTCGAACTTGGCACCCTGGAGGTTCATGCGTGGTCCCTCGATTCCGATCTCCTGCAGGGCGATCATCATCATACAAATGAACTTGTTGCGGCGCTGCAGACGGAGACCCTCGTTCTGCCAATTGGACTTATAGAAGAAAACCACATTGAGCGTAAGAGAAAAGTTCTCTGTAACAGCACGCATTTCAGTAAGGATGTTGCTTTGGAAATCACGCTTCTCGCTGCGTACAAACTCAAGGAGTCGCTGTCGGAAGGTGTCGAGCTGGTCAATGGTTGTGCCGTATTTGATGACAATGGGAACGGCCTCAGCCAGTGCACCTGAGCGACGTTGGTTCAAAATGAAGAGTGAGTTGAGGTAGCTATTGGGCGCCTGAACCACGTGTCCTTGCATCTTCTTGAACTCGGTGTACAGTAAAGTGATCTCCTTGACGAAGTAATCATCACCGAGACCGGCATCACCGGCGTTACCGTAGATAGTCACACGGTCGCCGACATCAAAGGGGTGCTTGACGAAAACGAAAATGACCGACTGGAGGAACTCCTGAGCCGTGGCAGAGAACAACCACGACAGGGCCAGAATCGAAGAACCGGCAGAGGTGAGGACACCAGCGGCCGAGGTCGAGATGAGCGACAAGAACACAATGATAACGACGACGAACACGAAGAACATGAAGACATCATCCAGTTTCGACACAACAGAGTCCAAGTCCTTCAGCGATGCGGTGATGGACTTGCGCTCGCGACCAATATCCACACAGACGGCTTCCAATTCCTCCATGGAAATGTCACCATTCATGTCACGATCAAACATGGCGAATGCGGCCTCGGCTTCCTCGCTGTCATCGAAGGCAGCCTTGAGATCACCGCCGAACACCGTGTCAAAGCCATCGCGGACAAAAGTGCGGTAGAGACGACGGGCCATGACCTGGCACCCCGAGGTGGTTCGCAGGAGAGTCAGGATGACCTGGTAGGCATCGGTGCTGCGAGTGGCCGTGCGACCAGTGACATCGGCCACGACGGCGCCAGCCACATCACCGACCTTGTTTCCGACCTTGTTCAGCGCGCCAACGGCCTTCCGCTGAGCCTTTCCAGCGTAGTGCAGGGGAGTCTTGGTCCCTGATGCACCGGAATCTTCCTTCTTCTCCTCAAACTGGTCGTTCTTATCGGGTAAAGTGTTGCGAGAGAACTCGTAGAGCTTCGTGAGACTACCAATCTGGAATTTGTTGATCTCAATGCGGTCGGCGTAGGTGCGGAGATGGAAACTGATGGCGATCAACTGGATGAGGATCTTCTCGATGAAATTGAGGATGGTCCAGACGAAGATGACGATGATGATCTTGTTGAGGGTATTCTCCCAGCTCCGCGTGGTCTTATCGCCGTCAACGTGGTGGTTCTTCATCGTGGGCAAGAAAGAAATCTCCACGCCGAGCCACCAAAAGAACAACGCCGCGTGGAGCTCCAACTGCTTGGCCATGTCGCGCCATTTCTTCGCGTTGTTGGTGAAGATACTGGCGAAGACACCGACCACAATAGGCACACACTTTCCGACGAGCTAGACAACCTATTAGCAATAGTCTGGAAGCAATTCGCATGTTCAACTTACCCGACCGGCCCAGAGAGTTAACCAGACGATTTCCAACCAAATGGAGAACCACATCAACTGTACACCACCGACACTCGCATTGCGAAACTTGAGAGCACCGACCAGCAGGGGAATCAAGAGAATTAAAACCACAGGGGCAATATAGGTCACGTAGCGCACGAGGAAGCTAGACTGGTGCAGCCGCTTCACAAAGACAGCAATCTTGGTATTGGGCGACTCAGGAGGCTTGTAGATCGCGGCCTTTTCGTGCAACGGATTGGTCGCCTCGTCGAACTCATCCACCTGCTCGGAGCGACGCGAGCGAGCGCGACTGATCGAGTTCTTATCGTGTTCGTCATCGTCGTGGGTCGAGCGCGACACCACGCGCTCGGCCTGGAGCAGCAACAAATCGTCCTCGAGTCGAGTGGCCTGCTCTCGTCGCGCGGAGGGGGTGCGCATGGGAGGTTCATCGTCGGCGACATCGTAGCTGGTGTCAACTTTGAGGTGGCTCGGATCACGGCGGGTTTCGGGTTCGGTCACATAGGTACCATCGTCGGACGTGGGGGAAACGTCGTCGTCGTCTCTGTGCTTGTCCTTGGGTTGTAGATGAAAGGTCTTGCGCTCGTCTATAGGCGATGACATGTTGGCACCAGGCCAAAGGAATGATGGGGGAAGAATGTGAACGTGGCGATTCTGGTATAAAGCGAGTGAAAAGAAACGTCCACAGGTAGAGACAGGGAGTACAAAGAGAGAAAAGAAATGAGCGTCGAGTTTCGAGTGAAACTTGGTGGATCTGGTGGGTCAAGACCAAGATTGATCTGGACTGTCTGGACTCTATGCTTGTGGCTTGTGTTGTGTTATCATGAGGCAAGGTGAGGTGAGGTTGTAGTTGCAGCTATAGTTGGATCTATAAAAAACCTTACGTTCTGCATTTCTACCTACATCTTCACTCTAAACAATTAACTTAATACAATTCTATACTAGCACATTCAGGAGGGCTTTTCAAATTACATCTTGGCAAGTCTCGGCCAGCAAAGCATCGATGGGCATTGAGTTCCGCACGTCTCTGACAGGCTCATCAAGGTCCACCAACTCCACTACCTCCACCGAGTGGCGATTGTGATTTACTTGGAAATCCCAGACTGCATGGACATCTTCACTGCATAACTTGCTGAATAATAGTGTTATCTTGCCAAGTTTCCCCCTCCTCTGCTATAGCACCCCTGTATGAGAATCAATCTGAACTTTATAAGATATAAAAGTATCACGGCAAGTAGGTAAACAGCCCCCTGGACCCCTGGTTGAGTCGTGATATCATTCATGACGCACAGTTGGACCTGTCCTGTCTCGATCCGATCGATCCATGTAAAAAACTGTAAACGTAAACACAAGCGTGAATGTAAAGGTAGGCTGTAAATGCAGATCAACGCACAGGACATTACCACTAATGCACCTCGAAGACGTGAGAACGAATAAAACGGCAAAGACTCGGGTTCGCCTAAATGAGTGGCGTCATGCTCTGCACCAACTGTGTCTCCTATAATTCAAACAAAGTGTGGGCCGCGCTGATCTCTAACAGTTGACAGCAGTCGCACGTTGAGGTGGACACGTACGGGCCGCGTCCAAAAATAGGCGTGGCTCGGTTCTCGAGTTACGAAGAAGCAGTATAAAAAGGAGAACCAGCGTCAAGCTGGTATTTAATTCTCACATGGATGAAAAGTAGACTATCATCGCTTGAACAGTGCAAGGAAAGAGATAAAAAGACCGGAACACCCTGCTCCAAGAGTAACAAACATTCAGACATAAGAGACGTGAGGGAAGGGATACGGTGTGATGCCGGGGAATCCCCTGGTAAATAAGCACACAAAAGTTGTACAGAGCAAGGAAATGTAGGTGCGCAAAAATATGTAAACAGAATAGAAGATGATCGTCAAATCGAAAGGCGCTTGGACGCTACTTTTGTCGTTTGAACGCGGAGCTCAAGTCGGATCGGTGTCGCTCAGGTGGCCGAGGGGTCTGCTCCGGATCCAGACTGGGGGAGGGATGAAGAGGCCGTGGGGTGGCGTCAGGGTCGGGAGTAAGACGGAAGTCAGTGTCTGGACCAGAGCCGGAGTCGAGCGTGTTGCCAGAGATCTTAACTTCAGGGGTAATCGGCGGACCAGAGAGATGGGGAATGCCCTGGGCCAAGTCCCACGGCGGGGTGGTCTGGCCCTGGCTAGGCTTGGATGCAGGAGATCCAGAGTAGATTGAGGTATCCTGGTGTGACAAGGAGGGTCGGCGGTGCTGAGA